CTAATAGTTATACTTTCTGCATCATATACATACCATGTACTCTTTTCCTCACTAGGTTTTTCCCAATGGGTTTTTCTAGTGTGGTTTTTAACGAGGTATGAGTATGATTTATTAATGGGGGGTTATATATAAATAACTAAATAGACAAACCCCAAAATCCTGAAGATTATGCCTTGAAGGCAAATACTTAAATAGACAAACCCCAAAATCCTGAACATTATGCCTTGAAGGCTTATGGTTGTACTCTTTTTCCCTTAACTAAGTTTTTCCCACGAGGCTTTCATAAGTTAAGGTTTTTAACGAGGCAATCAGTACAATATATGAATTTACAAATATCATGTACTCTTTTCTTCAACTAGGTTTTTCCCACATGGTTTTTCTAGTGAAGTTTTTAACGAGGCATGAATGTATTCAAATATACTATCCATATACCTTGTACTCTTTTCTCGACTAGTTTTTTCTCCACAGGGTTTTTCTAGCGAGTTTTTAACGAGGCATGGTTATAGTAAGATAATGTCCAAGGGGGAGTGTTATAAATAATATTGTTGTCATTATTATTAGTCTATTATATATGTTGTACCCCCATTTTGTAATGTTGAGGATGAATGAGTATTGTCTATCTCTACATGTTTTCTTTTCTCTTTCTCATTTTCTAATATCTGCAATGTTCATCGGTTAGGAGCTAAAGGCCATCGGACATAATCTCCCACAACAATTTTATTAATTTATACATGCTAGAAAATGTACAGCTTATTATAACTCATTTGGTTCACATAAAAATTTTATGATGAATAGAATTTTAGTCCTATAAAAACAAATTATTGAGAATATTAATTTTCATTGTTTAGTTGATTTGGAATTATCAATGAATAAGATTATAACGACTAATGTCTCCATACATACAACAACAACAACAAAGCCTCTACTAATTTAAGGCTCGATCTCATAACCTCTCAATATGAGAGAGTCACTACTCACTGCATGCCGTCTGAACGTAAGGTGGTTGGCTAGAATTTATTTTCTTCAGATTTGAATAATTCAAACTCCAAAGAATAAAATTTTCATCAATCAAACAAGGTTTTTCCCTCAAAATTTAGGAATTCTAATTCCAAAGAATTCATTTTCTTGTGAACCAAACATGCCATTAATGATGACACTGAAAAGGAATCCACTTCGATCATGGTGTCATTGTCCTCGACCGAGATATTTTGACTATCCTAGTCACTAATCGTACCCCTTTCTCTAAGAAGGAAGATGGGGGGGGGGGGGGGGTGAAGGGTTTAGTACTTAGGAGATAGTCGAGAAGGTTAATAACACCTAACGAAGTAGAAGGTCAAAAATCTAAAAATGAAAAGATAAGCAATAAAGCGGAAACCGGAGAATTAAAAAATCACGAAACTAAATCTTTACTGAGAAAGCTGATTGGAGACGTCCGACTTGAACGAGTTGCGTTTAACCGATTGAGTCCTTGTGTGCAAGCTCGGGAAGCTCTGGAAATTCATTGCAAGAAAGCACGATTATGCTTCTCCCTAACGCCTTATTTATACGCGAGTTAGGCGGGAGGAATTTAAAATTCGAACCAAATCCTAAGACAACTGTTCTCAACACGACGCGTGGTGAACGACTCAATTTGGATGGTGATCTGCGCGGTGCACCGTATACCCGTGATATACTCGATCCTGCCCTGATTAAGTGACATAACCTTAGAGTGTGATCGGATTTTATAATCCGAGCCCCTAATCATGTTACCGCGACTCGGAACACAGAATAGGGGGCTACTTGATAGGGAATATATCCCGGGTTACAGCGCTCCTTATACCCAGAACCTGATTGGGTACGAGTCGTCTCGAGATCCGGATCATTTCCCAACCTGAACCAACCAAAGCACAACGACTGGCCGACCCGACCTCGGATTCATTGGCTCGTTGGCCTAATAAGCCATTGCTTTATCCCTTCTGTGCTCGGGTCCGACCTAGATGCTTGTCCCCGATCCCGAGCATGGACAGTTTACAGTTAAACCAATCCCAACAAGTAACTAACTGGACAAATATATTTTTACACGTGCCCGACCCTCATTTGACCGATTGAACTACCGAATGCATGGACACTTGGCGTACATGCCGGCCTCTCGTCATGTGTCCCTTGAATTCCCTATAAATACCCCGCGAGGCGATAGTAGAAGGGACTTTTTGGCAACTTCTATATAGCCTTACTTAGCTCGGGAATCTTCGGCCTCATGCTGTAACCCGAGCTCAACATCTTAAATCAACAAGCAGATCGCTTTAGGGCCGAAACCTTGTCCGGCCTTATACTTTATACGTATTCTGAACAAACACGATATTTTACCGCATCACCAACCATTTATCATTTGTGCAACACAAACTTTATTGTCCTCATTTAGGATATTGGGGGTAATTCATAGCATGATCAGTTTGGTACTTAGCGTCATGGGGATCAAACGAAATAGCCACTACCTAAACATCCCAACAAAATCATATATTGGTTTCTAGCATAAATGCCAAAATCTTTGTGACTCAAAGATACCGGAGGATGTGTTAAACACTATTCCAATATTTCATTGTATAGAGAGCGCTAAATGTTGCTAACAGTTTGATCGCAAATATAATATCATGCATGATGCGATTATGGAACTTCTGATCCCAAAGTAGTGCTCCAACGACAATCAAGTAATGAACTTTTGGTCTAAGGGTATTCTCGTTATCCTCTTTGAGTCTAAAAGGTACGTTATTTGCTTTATATAACACCACCTCATCATTCTTATTTCTCTTTTGTAAAAACACCTATTTGTAACCAACACGGTTAACATTCAATGGTGTATGCGTTATAAAGAGAATACATTTATTTTAGCGAGTTAAGCTATGCCTTAATTGCTCCTTTATATATTAAATAGTTGTTGGAAAAATAGCATTAAAATGGCATTTTAAGTGGCTATTTTGTGGTACAATTATCAGTGGGGTGCACTTCCGATTTGGGTCTGGTCAAAGTGGATTCGGGTTCTTCGTAGTGAGACGAAGATATTGATATGTTGTACACTCAAAACGGATAATGGATGAATGAGATATTGAATCTCAAAGTAGACCCATTGAGTTGGAAAAATGACGGGAAAAAGAATGAGCTTTTGTCCCACATTGGTTTGGGAAGGATTTGCACCACTATTTATACAATAGTCTTTCTATTGCTTATCAAATTGTATAGCATAGAGGTTTTCTCTCGCATGCAGGGGGAGTGTAAATTAAATTCCAAACTAAGCTTGAAAAGGCTTGACTCGTGTACGCGGGCCTTGTGAGCTAAGTTATGCCAAATTTCGGTATACTTTTCCAACAGAATTGCGTTTGCCCTCCTCTGGACCGTTACGAGAATTAATCGTGGAATTGCGTTTGCCCTCCTCTGGACCGTTACGAGAATTAATTCTCACGATTAATGGTTAGCTCCCTACATATACTCACGTGAACAAGAGAGACACAACACACACAACTGATTTTTCTCTCTCAAAACTCTGCTCTTACTCCGTTCTTGCCGATTGTGTTCTACCCGTGCTCTAGTTCGTCGGGTCCTTCATTTGGGTGCTCAAACGTTGAACCGTAGTAAGTTTTATCTTAAAAAATCTAGGATTTATTGCTTTTAAGCAATAAATCCTTACTTCATTTCCTTTGGTTGGAATTATAATCTGGAGAATTATAAATTCATATATATATATATATATATATATATATATATATATATATATATATATATATATATATATATATATATAATATTATTTTAGGTAAATTGACTTTGTTCAATTATTTTTCAACAATCTTAAAACTTTATTTTCTTTGTATGAACAAGTTGATGGATTCCAAGAGTGTTGAAACAGTGAATGTTGCTCGTGATGCACATTCAAATGGCCGGAACGGCAACGGTGTTGCACATTCTGTGATGTCGGTTGACGGCAGCAATGTTGAAAATGATGTTTCAATGGGAGTTGCAAAATCAGACGAGATTTTAAGTTTCCGTGGTTGCGAAAAGCTTAAGGAGCTTCTAGTTGAGTTGGGAAAATTAGAGCAACTAATAGAATTATATGCTTTTGGAACTGTGGTCTCACATATACCCTTTTCTTTGTGATGTTTGAGAAATCTACAAACACTGTACATGTGGTCACACAAGGGGTTAGTACAAATGTACAATCAAAACTAACTTTTCTCAAGAAGAAATCGTAGTGATCCAGGTGGTTTTTTTTCCATCTTCATTTGTGAATTTATATATGCTCCTTGAATGGAAACATCTAATTGTGTCTTGCAACTATCTGGATGCATCTTAGGACTTCTCTTGGGAGTCTAAGCTCATTGGAAAATTTAGATTTATTAGGAAGATGCTATTTTGAAAGCTTACTTTTGGCCTTTCTCATCTTTCCAATTTGAGAAGGCTCTACTTGAACAATTGGCAAAATCTTAAAGCACTTCAAGACCTTCCTCCTAATCTGCATTTACTCTCCGCAGAAAATTGTGTGTCATTGGAAAAAGTAGCAGATATATCCAGTGGCGGACCTACTGTGGGGGCAGTGGGGTCAGCTGCCCGGCCCCACTCACCCCACCCCCACCCCTTATATAACTTTTGTATTATATGTGTATATATAGTACAAGTTTTAGTATAAGTATTAAAAAATAGAGAAAAATTTATAGAATGTGCCTTAGCCTAGTTGGCTAAGTGTGTGATTGGTTTGAAGGCATGCCAGGGTTTGAATCTTATCTATCTGTTCTTCATTTATATTAATAATGAGATGTGTAATTTATAATGGATCTTTTATTCAAATTATTTTATCAAATTGATTATGTTCATATTTTTATAATGTTTTGATGTGTTTTTATAATTTTTCTATATCCAACATTATTTATGGCTATACTTTTTAAGTGTTTCATTTTTTTTTTCTAATTATCAATTTTGCTTTAATATTTTGCCCCCGCTGAAAAAAATTCCTGGGTCCGCCACTGGATATATCAAACTTGAAAGAACTTAGAGAGTTGAACTTTTGAGAATTGTAAAAGTTTGGTTGAGCTTCTAAGGGTGGGGAGTCTTGAATTCTTACAATGTCTTGCAATAGCAAACTGCAATGCCTTGAGTATTCCTTTGATTGAAAATTGGTACCAGGTTAAATTAGTTATATATGTTATGTTCCCTCCACTGATACATCTCTATCACTTTAATTGGTATTAATTGTGGTATATTGTAATCCATAATGTAGGCACGTTGTGAAGGTGTGATAATCTTAAGATTTGGATTCAAGTCATTAGATATGTAAGTTGCAGTAATCCAACACTTTTAATTTGAGGCATGATCATGAACTCCTTGATAATGTTAGCATATATCTTTGATGGTAAAATCTCCCATTAGACTGTCTCGCTGAAACGGGTCAAGTTTTTCATATGCATTACATTTTTTCTTCATAAATATTACAATTTTTCTTATAAGTAATTCTCAAACCCTAATATTAGATTTTGATTTAAAAGTATTACATTTTTCATCAAGAATAATGTTGTCTCATTTTCTTCATAAGTAACAACCAATCAATTTATCCATGATGAGAATTACATTTCTTTTCATGAGTAACTAATCAATCTCTAACTCTCTAAGTATTAAATTTTGTTTTAAAAAGTATAAAAGGGTGTGTTTGGTTCATGTGTTTAGCTATTAGAAATTGGAATTAAAGTCATTGTTATTGTTTGGTTGATAGGTTTCTAGAACACTACTAAGATTTTTTATTTTTATTTTTTTGAAAGGGAACACTACTAAGATTTGATTACCCCTAATTAGAAAACTCATTCTCCAATAAAATAAGGGTTTCATTTCATTATTTTCCCTCCTAATTGATAATTTGATTTTTAAGTTTGGACTAGTGCATGCTTTTAGATTTTTGTTTTTATTTTTTTGTTCATATTGGTGCTTTTGATATCTTTATATTAGAATAAAGAGTAAATACCTAAAATGGTCCCTCGACTATAGCTAAATTCACAAATTGGTCATCGACTTTCAATTTTGACCAATTAAGTCCTTAACTTTGTAATTTTAACACAATTTGGTCCTCTGTCTATTTGACCATTTGTTGACTGTGATTTTTGAGGATATATATGTAATTTCATGGTCCATCGTCGGTTTTTTTAAGGTTCTGGTTGCATTTCCAGACCGCATTGTTACATTTGAATCAACTGCCGAAAGCAATCTACCAAATCCGGTCGCATTTCTTCATCCTCCCTTTGGATTCAATGTAGTTGAGTTCGTACCAGAGCGAAGAAGACGACGTGTTTCCGAACCAGTGCAACGTCATCCTGGAGGCCTCAACGTGCTCCGACGAGAGCTGAAGGTTCTTCTGGAGATCGTCGATCACGGTCAACAAACGGTCAAATAGATGGAGGACCAAATCGTGTCAAAATTACAAAGTTAAGGACTTAATTGGTTGAAATTGAAAGTCGAGGACCAATTTGTGAATTTAGCTATAGTCGAGGGACCATTTTGGGTATTTACTCTAAAATAAATTGTCATGATTTTTTGTTCTTGTATTTTTAAAATTTTTATTCCCACTATAAGATCATACATAACCAAATAGTATTATTGGTAATCATTCCAATTCCACCTTATTACCAAACATGCAAAATACTTGCACCAAAACTGATTACCATTACCAAGTATTTGATTCCTATTCTGATTTGATTTGGTAATTTGTTATATTGTAGGTAAGTTTGGTAAGTTGCAGAATTCCAACACATTTGAGGCAGTATGCATGGGTTCGAAATGTTGTTCCCACTCTTAATGATGATCACATTAATGGAATTGGTGTTAGTGTGAGAAGCAAAAGCAGTGGGGCTTGGATTGTAATTGCTGGAAATTATGGAATTTCTAACCACCTGAAAGTGATCTTAAATTAAAAAGACTTGTTCCGATCACTTTTAATATTCAGAAAAACATTTGTTACTATTTCCGACCACTTTTTGCTTTCTACTTGATTTAAGATTACTTTCATCAAGTGGTCGGAAATTGCATAATTTCCAGTAAAGGAACCTCCTCATCAATATATTGGGATCAAAGAATATGAGGAAATTAAATTTGAGATCCCAACAAGGATTGAAGAACTAATGGAGGTGTATGCACATTTCCATGATGTGTAGAAGATACTTTGTGTAGTTGAAATACATAGAAACATAGATAGAGAAGTGTGGTTCTTCCCATCCAACAAGGGATGGATTGCTGCCACTATTGGATACTATTAGGTGCGTGAGACTTATTGTGACGACAGAGATCAGAAACCTGCAGTTTCAAATGGACTGTTTTGTTGAAAGGTTGGCCAGAATTCTTCTCTATTGCATTTGTTTAATTAATTTGGCATTGAAATGTTTGAGTATCAATCTCTACTAAATTTACTTTTTAATGTGTGTATGCTTATTCCTATATGAAAGCACTCGAAGTTGTTTATCTAATATAGGGTTAGAAATTTATATAGTCATGGAGATTAATATTTCAGAGATGTACTATCATGAAAAGGTTAAATAATATTTGGAGTTGTGTATTTATAAATATTATTTTAATTTGGTAGAAAATTAATTGGAAAATGTAGCTCATGCTAAAGGTTGGAACAGAAAAGTACTCAGTTTCGAGATCTATAAGTTAACCTATGAAAAATTAATTTCCGAGAAGTCAAAGATAACCATTGGAAGGTGAGCAACCATTCGGTTAAGGAAAATGATCTCTCGGATGGATTATATACTTAATCAGTTAATCATTCGGATGGATTATGTGTTTAACATTCGGATGGTATATTAAATGTATATCACGTGAGTTTGTTTCATCTTTCCATGCAAATATTATGCTTATCAATTATAATATACATATATGTATAAAGGGGTTGTTGGATCGAGTCTCAGTGGAGGTGATATTAGCTCCTTGTGATTCAATAAGTTGAGAAAATAGTTATGAACAGATACTGCATTGTAATAAAGTTGATAATATTCAAAAAAAAATACATATTGCACAATTATTTGCGTGTAGTATATAAACTTGTGGAGGTACATTTATATTATGTAAATATTCAAACCATACATAATTTACATAATTAACTTTTTCTATATTAGATATATTATTATATCTTTTGGAAGTTGAAATTTTAAATTGATGTAATTTTCATGTAACATCTCTCAACTGTCAAAATATTTCATATAAATATTTTGAAAGGACATCTGAAAGAAATACATGCAATAAACTTGCAGTATAGTGAGATTTTTCACCTGTCTCATAATCCTACAGGAAGTTCTTAAACAAAGCAACTTAAGAATTCCATTCATCCTCTTGCATTGTATCCTATAAGATTAAATCTTGAATCTTGTTGCTTTTTCTGAGGGATATTTAAAGATTAAGGGCCCTGTTAGGTAAAATAGTTAGCCTATCCGTCAATTTTGGGCAAATTATGTTGTGCAACTACGTTCATAATTACTAAACTATATGTTCATAATTATAAAGCTATATATTCATAATTTTTGAACTTTATATTCATAATTATTAAACTCTATATTCACAATTACAGAACTCTATACTCATAATTTTCAATGTTCATATTCCCAATTGTTGAACTCCGTATTCGCAAATCACAGAACTATATGATCATAATTTGATAACTATACAGTTTAGAAATTATGAATCTACAGCACAGAAATTATGAATCTACAGTACAGATATTATGAATATGCAGTATAGAAATTATGAATCTACTGTATAGAAATTATGAATCTACGGTTTAAAAATTATGAATCTACAGTATAGATTTTATGAATCTACAGTATAGAAATTATGAATCTACAGTATAGAAATTATGAATCTATAGTATAGAAATTATGAATTAGAACCGTGTGCACCTTGCATGGTGCACACGGTTGCACAACATAACGTTTTCCAATTTTGGTTTATTTGACCACTCTTAGCTGTTTAACTTGATTAAACAATTAATATGAGTGTTTGATTAATTAGCTTTTTGTAACAATACAACTTATTGCTCCAAAATGCTAAAATTAAAAAAACTGCTCAAAGTAGATTTTTCGATCATCTTTTTGAAAAAGTCATTTTATATGCAATCAGCTATCAGCTAACAGTTAATTTATCAAAAACTTTTCTAGAATCAACTAATTCTATCAACTATGGATACTCAAACCACCAGGGGCGGATGCAAGTGTGGGTTAAGGGGGGCCTTGCCCCTCCCCCCCCCCCCCCCCCACCCCACCCCACCCCAAATTTTTAATATTATATATAATACTAGTATTGACCCGTGCGCTGCACGGTATGTAAATTAAAAAGTATTAATTGTGTGTATATTATGTTACAAATTGTGTGAACTAATGCGGTTAAAATTTATAACATATAAATGAAATATGATTGGGATAGATGGAGATTAAGTCCTAGAAAAGAGAATAGTACGAAAAGAGATCAAATAGTTGCAAGGTCATGGAACTAAGAAAAGAGAACTTTACAAAATTACAAATTATTGAAAACTTCATGATATACAACATTAGTGGTTGATGTAGTAGTTGAACTTGGGTCTTTGACTATCAATATTTTGAGACCGTCAGGATTGTTAACCCGAGATGCAGCTACGTACAACTGACCGTGTACAAAAACCGGTTTCTTTAGTATTAAACCAACATGAGACAACGTTTTTCCTTGACTTTTGTTAATGGTCATTGCATATGAAAGCATAATTAGAAATTGCCTTCGTTGAAATTTGAACGGCAATCTTGGATCAGAGGGTGACATTGACATTCGAGGGATCAACACTTTTGTACCTTTGTTAGGTCCAGACAGAATCTCGCCTTCAATAACATGGTCTGCTAGTTTTGTGATTATCAACCGAGTCCCATTGCACAAACCAAGAGAATGGTCAATATTTCTCATTAACATTACCGGTGAACCTATTTTCAAAGTTAATGTATGATTCGGTAGACCTGAAACCCTAATGCTGTTTAGAAATTCCGGTGTGTGTACATCTCCAAATATACCGTTGTCGCCGTCGGCTTTGCATACTGCGTCTGAACTAAAGTACGACCTGCTTTCGGCATTATGCAACTCAGTCATATAGTCATTTACTGCATTGACCACATCGAGCGTTGGTGCTAATATAGCACAACCTAGCATATGCTCGGGGTCAGGGTTTCCATTTGCAAACATAGAAAATGTACTGTGCACAATTGTTTTAATATCGTCCGCTCCAGATGACAATAACATGTGTTTTGGAATTTCAACCTCTACGTAACCATCATTCCGCCCACCCAGCTTTCCATCACCTACATTAGCAATCCAATCGGCAAATTCTTGTAATGCCTGCCGATTTCCACCGTTGGGTACCGAACTTAGTCTTAAGTTTTGTGTCAACCTTAAAACTTTGCAACTATCCCATAGGTATGATGAATTTATGGCTGAAGAAACAATATCTTGCCGTGTACCTTTTGGAACTACCGGGAGAATTTGGCGGAAATCTCCACCCAAAACCACAGTTTTACCACCAAATGTCTTCATTTCACTACACGGGTCTACAAAACGCAATAAATCCCTCATAGTTCGGTCTAATGCTTCAAAACAATGTTTGTGCATCATGGGAGCTTCATCCCATATTATCAAACTCGTCTTTATCAACAATTCAGCCAGGTCGCTACCTTGCTTAATGTTACAGGTTGAGTCTTCATTTATTGCAATAGGTATTGCAAATCTTGAGTGAGCAGTTCGGCCACCTGGTAACAACAGAGAAGCTATGCCACTTGATGCCACATTTAAAACGATCTGACCTTTGCATCGGATTGCAGCTGACAACGCTCTCCACAAGAAAGTCTTTCCTATTCCACCGTAGCCATAAACAAAAAATAAGCCACCTTTACCGTCTGCAATGTCTTTTATAACCGTATGATAGATGACACTTTGTTCTTCGGTTAGTTTGGCAGAAAGCACTTCAGCATCTTCTTTCAACTGCTCGCAATTGTAACTTAACTCTTCAAAAACCAGCCTATTCTGAAACAACCTTGAATGATCAGTACTGGGTATTGGCATCGGAGGATAGTCTTTTAAAGACTTATTTTGTTGACCCAATAGGTTTTCCAATTCGAACAATGCAAAGTTCTTTTTCTCTTCCCCTGTTAAGACCAAATCTGTTACGATGGCAACAGTCAGATAGTTATCGATATAACTTAAGATATTTTATTGTATCAAAAAAAATGTACATTACCTGGTTAATTTAATATTCTTCTTTGATAGTGTTGAGCATCTTCAGACAAATGTTTCCACACTTGATTCCAGACATTTTGGGCCTAATAATGGATGAGGATGTTAGTAAGACAACAAATAGCTTCCTTAATGAATATGCAGTTGACCAGTAGCTTGCTTCATTTATAGCATCAATGTATTCTTTATCATCGTCTAACAATCCATGAGCACAACATGCATCTCTAAACGTTAAGTACTCAACACCATTAACTGTCCTAATATCTTGGAAGCTTTTTGGACCGCGGACTATGTTCAATAGACACCTTAAATAATAAATTTCTCCTGAAGCGGGTGGTATATAGAATATCCGACCAATTGAGAAACCCTTCTTTCTTGGATGCCATTCACGGATGTCCTTTTTCCACACAAATTTGGTAGGCATCTCAATGTAAGTTAATAAGCTCGCTTCTTTAAACTTCTGGTTCGCTACAAACCATGCATTAAACATACTTTGCCCAACGGTCTTTCTGTTCAAGACATGATCAATGGTATCATCGTCTTGGAACACGACTGATTGGCAGTCAGGCAAGTGAAAGCTTAGTCGCTCAACCAGTGGAGTCCTGTACTGAACTTCAAAACTAAACAACCTCCATGCTGCCTCGCACGCAGAGATGTACCTACAGTCATAGTACATGTTTATTTCATCCACCATCTCATTACCACCTTCATCCATTGTAGTCTTATAAAACTCAGCCGTTACACGGTCGTTACCCTTGTTGACATACTTGAATATGTACTTGATTGACCTAGATTGGTTACACCACTCTACATTAATGTGGGCTTTGTATTTCAAGAGCAAGTACCGATTATGTGGTACAACATACCTATTGTCCAAATCTATTCCATTTTTTTTTATTGTCCTCTTATCATCCCTTCTTCGATACAACGGGTAACCATCCTGGTCAAAATGGGATGCATCAATATATCTTTTTGGAAAATATTTTGAACACTTTCCATTTACCATGCACGGTGAATTGCTCCTGGCAACACCACACAGACCGTGAACCATGAATTCTTCGACAGCTTTGTAATACTCAACGTCAATCAACTTGTCTGGGATCTCGGCAGAAATGATCGTGTCCATAAAAGCAGGATTGGCAAAGCAGCTCGTCCCTTGTAGGAACAGTAATATGTGAGCGTGTGGAAGACCGCGTTTCTGAAACTCAATTGTGTATATCACTGTTGCATAAAGAATTATATTGTGTGAGTTATAAAATTCGTATTGATAATTAATGTATATAAAAAGGCATTTATAAGAAAATGCGGGGCGCACCTGCCCTTACCGGACCAAACAGTTTTCCATATTTTATTTCTTTTATTAAGCAATCTAGCTTCATCTTAAAAACTCTGCAAACAATGTCCGGACGATCTTGAGCTTTCAAATTTCTTTTCTCCAAAAAGCGTGAATCTCCGGCCATTTAGGATTACATGTAAAGGTAATAAACAGGTTTGGATAACCTATAGATTTGCAAATTGCCATGGCGTCTTGGTAGTTCTGTATCATGTATCTTGCTCCTCCCGTGAAACTTGAAGGTAATATTATTCTTTTACCTTGCGAGCTAGGTTGAACTTCACCTCGTGTTAACGCATCAGAAAGACCTTTGTACGCCTCACATCTCAATGCTTTTTGATTTGACCGAATATATAGCAACCTCGAAGATTCAACCATAGTATACGCATCAACCAAGAATTGTTGGAATAACCTTTTAGCGTACAATATAGTTGAAATCTCATTTGATCTTTCGTGAACACGGAACGCGAAGTATTCTCTTTGTGAAACACTCTTTCTTGCAAAATTTTGTTTAGTACCATGTGTTGCAAAATGTATGTCTTCCCTAAAACCATTCTCTCCATATGGAGATAAAAGCGGGTATTGCAATGGTAGATACGCTGGGTTTAATTCACTTATTCATTTCAGCATCCCCGATCTAGACTCGACAACAATATCACGTTCGCCCATGCCAGGGTCTAGATCTCCAACAATGAGAGCAGCAACCTCGGAAGTAGTTGGTAGCGCATACGTTCTAGCATCTTTAGACCTCTTCCCTATTAATCTCATTCTAATTTCACTTGTAGGATTAGATTCCATAAATGACTTGGCCATTCTGAATGACTTAACCAAAACATTGTGCTCATCTAGGTCTTGCTTAATGTCATGAACTACATCAAGATGAAATGCAGAACCATTGTTTTCCGTCCTAAACAAATAAAAAAATATAATATAAGATTATAATATAAGATTATTATTATTAAAAAATGACAGGCCAAAAGAGTTGATTAACAGGGACTATTATACCTGAAAGAGTTGGATCGATTTTGTATCTCATTCTCTGTATCGTGAATGTATAACTGTGCAAATTTTGGTTGAGTGCCAAGAGCAGGCAATAAACTTCCAATCCGATGGAAACTCTGACCATTTATACGGAATATAGGAGGTGATGTTCCGTTGTTAATAGTTCTATCAATTTTTCCACCCATTGACGTGAAGCAAAACATGTTGTTATAGGACCTTATATTCTTCAAAAAACATTTGTTTTTCTCACTTGATGTAAGGAATAGATCAAACAACTTTTGAGGAGGCCTTGTCATCAATGGCAACTTTATCTTACCATTCACACAACATCCAGAGTATTTAGGCCTGTCACATGACCTTGAATTGCTAGACCGTTCATTGTACCAAAAAAATGCATTACAATGCTCGCACAAATACTCTGGATCACCACTATCAAAATAATTGTCTACAAAAAAAATACTTTGATATTAGTTCACGGGGAAAAACAATAATATAGTTCATTTTAGTCCAAAGATAGTATGTCTTCGTTGGGCATCGTTTAATACGTACTCACCATTTTTTGAGGGCACATTGTCATGCAATTGTTCAACAACTTCGTGAAAATCTGATATCAAATTTCGACAATGCTTGATGGGTTCAGTCTCCGGCTCTACCACGATTATTTGCATGTTGTTGTCATTTGTAACACAACAATTACTTTCAAATCCTACAGAAACGATTATAGAATATATTACATTCTAATTTAATATTGACTATGCAATAACCAATTGCTCCTCATAATATATTGATACCTAATTGCGAATCTGGACTTCGATTTAGGTCGAAGTAACGATGTGTACAATTGGATGTAGTTGGTTTGTCGCGGTCGCCATTAACTGTACCGCAAATTGCTTTAATTACAAAAAAAAATTGTAGAACGACTTGTTAGACGATTAAGTATTACATTTGACTACAAAATAAATTTATACTAATCTTATAACAAATATACTTGTTGAGATCATTACTATTTGATATGTTGCTTAATGGCATTCTGCTACTAAAAACTGGCGATGACGTAGTCTGTATTGGTGTTCGTCCGGGAGAAGGCGCTGTGAATTAAGGTAGGACAGATTATAATGACGTAGCATTTACCGCAAATGAGTATAGGTTATATACTAAATTTCAACTTTATTACCGTGCGAGCCTGGTGATCTATTTAAGTCAAACGAATGATTATGGCGCTTGGTCCGCGGCGATTTATCAAGGTCCACGGTAGATCGAGTCAAATTTGCTATAATTATAGAGCAGTGGTAAAACACACACGTTAGAATACTAATTGTCCAATTTGATTGTTAGATAATTTATTTACAAAATTATTTGTAATATTGGTTTAGCTAATTACTATTTGATATGTTGCTTAACGGCATTCTGCAACTAAAATCCGGCATTGGGGTAGTCCGTATTGTCGTTCGAACCGCAGTGTCACCTGTCAATTGCAATGACAATTAATATTAACAAAACTCCATTAATGGAGTTAATTGTTGCTAATGAAAACACGCGTACTTAACGAACTTTGAAAAACGCCAATTAGCGGTGTACCAATTTTCATATTCTTGTTAGATTCAAACGACGGCATGTACGCTTCCCCATTGACAGTGTTGTCTGTTCAAAAAAAACAATGTTATCAGTACACATTTATTATTTGGTGTACCATTTTTGTTAATCATACATAGATCAAGTTTAATTATTCAATCATAGTATGTCAACAACCACGTTATTATATTGTATAATGTTTATTATAATGTTAAAGTACTAAAACTAATTTATTATATAATCATAGCTTAATCTAATTTACATTCGTAATTGCCTAAATATTGACATAACATTTATCAATATAATGATAGTAATAATAATGATTTGTATTATTATAATAAAATAATAACAATAGTAAACTGATAATATAACGCTCTTCACTAACACTATAATAGTAATTAAAATAACTATTAATTACCAACCATTATAGTAAACAATTGAGTACAGGAATTTGTAATACATAAACAATTAAACTTATAATAATAAACAATTAAACATAAACAATTAAACAATTGAGTACCTTGCTAATAATAATAATAATAATAATAATAATAATAATAATAATAATAATAATAATAATAATAATAATAATAATAATAATAATAATAATAATAATAATAATAATAATAATAATAATAATAATAATAATAATAATAATAATAATAATAATAATAATAATAATAATAATAAAAATTAATATATCTGACATAAACATCACAGATGGCCTGAGACGGTGATGTTAACAGCTGTCTTTCCCTTTCCTACACACCTAGCCTTCATCCTCATCTAAGCTCATCTCACCCATCCCAGTCTCGGTCCTCTCACCACAAATGAAGTTCTTAACTCCCGTTTAGGGTTCGATGAGGAACTGTTAACCGAACTATACTATGGATTCGCGATGATGATGATCTTACTGTGAAGTATGTTCAATACTCCCAATCTGAGTGTTAACCCCATAGTCAAAACCCCGATTCAGAGATATCACGGTCTATCGACCGCCATATGAACACTATACTTCTCCGGCTTTCATCGATAGAGGGAGATCGAAGGTTGGTGGTTAGTAATGTGTGATGCTCAACGATGGACCAAGGCAGAAATGGGTGTTCTCCTACACGATTTCTAGATTTTATACCAAGTTGGGTAACAATTTCTAACCCTATCTCTTCTAATTTTTCAGATCTAAGTATGGTGACTATATATCTATCTAAAACGGCAGTTTATAGAACTAATTTTTAGAAATTATCTTCGTGTATACTGAAATTTGTTTATCAACACATCTATTCACTGTAATTTAATTGATGCCATTAATTTTGGGGGTCAAGAACACATGCACATAGTTTATATGGTTTGAGCTAGTATTTAGGGCTATACTCGAACACAAAAATGCTCTACTACTTTAACAGTTTCTAGTATTACCTTGATTGTTGTTGTTCTGCTTCCGCTTTGCTCCAATTGTTGTTGAAGTTGTAATTTTCTTCATGTGTTCGTCTGGCACTGAATTGGCTAAATTCCAGTTTTGTTTAGGTAGTGGTTAAGAGAGAATAAGAATACCTGTGTGTTGATTATATAGTAGTAGAGCATTCCCATTCAAGATTGGTAGACAACATTGGAAAATGGTGAATATAAATCAAGTTGGAATACTAAAAGTTTTATTTGTGCTACTTAATGCAGTGATATTATTACACTTTCCTTCTCATAATTACATTGATTAATCAAATTAGTCTGAAATATAATAAGGTACTGATTAAGCTATTTTTCAGGTATCTTGAATATGAAAAGACCTGTGGTTGTGAAAATGTTGTGACACGTTTTGACTAAGTAAGTACCAATGGTATCCAGTTTGGTACTTACAGTTGCTTAGCAAGGCTCAAAGATAAGTGTTAAGTCTACCCAATGGTGTATAATCTAATTTGATATAGATTGTTAGTTACCGAGTTTGTCATTATTGCATTATTTGTAACTTATATTTTTTTATACTACCTTGATCTAGACATCATGTGTGGGATCTGTATGACAACCTGTACTTTCATCTTAAGGCATTTGAGGAGGCTTCAGATATACAAAGTTGGTGTCAATACATGGTAAGTGCCTAATCAGCCATTAGTCCCTGACAATGTACATTCTAATTACCTGCTTATCTCTATATATACATTTGTATGTCACTTGCTGGAAATTTAATAATTGTTGACTAAAATGCAGGCAAGATGCCACAGAATCTCTGGTGGTTCCAAGGATTTTGAAGAGAGTTTATATTGCAAATTGTTTTCAACATATCTGTGGCCCTAATGACTTCTTATAATGCACGATGTCAATTCGAGTTGAACTTGCATACAAAAAGATAAGTGTTAATTCAATAATTAGCATTCACTATAATGCAATAGTAAGAATTGTGATGTATATTTTGATATCCATTATACTATGCTTGCTGAACTCAACTTAAATCAATTTGTCTATTTACTTAATAGAGTTTAGTGTTCTCATGTTCCTAATTTCATGTTTACTGAAAATATTAGCCAGATAACCATGTGATCTGTTTTTTTTTTTTTCGTTATGTTAGGATTATTGAAATACATATATGCTTAAATCAATTTGTCTATTTACTTAATAGAGTATTAGTGTTCTCATGTTCCTAATTTTAGGTTTACTGAAAATATTACGCAGATGTTCATGTGATTTGTTTTTCGTTATGTTAGGATTATTGTAATAACTATATGATTAAGTTATATTACATTTTTAATCAAAATGGTGTTTTTGATTCCATTCTAACATGAATTGTGTCTTAATTGAGCAAACTTAAAACAGTTTTAGTAGTAACAAAGACGTTAAGCCATTAATATTGATGGAAGTGATGGAAGTGCTTTTAGGATTAAATAAAAAAAAATAGTAGTTCATATTTACAGTGTTTAAATTTTTAGGAATAGAACATGTAAAATTATATGTAATCACTAAGATTTAGATTACATTTATCTTAATAAACTGTATACCTTAACTTAAAATAACAATGTATAACCAAAATTTAATCTGCATGCTAAAAACAAAAAAAAAAAATTAGATTAATTTTGGAAGTAATGTTTACATTAACAAATTACAGATGAAACTATATCCGTATGCTATACTATCTGCATTGTCTTTTTCCATCATGTGATGTTCATCTTCTTTTGCTTTATGTGAAATCAAATCGGCATTGTCTTTTCCCTTCATGTGATGATCATCTTCTTTTGCTTTATGTGTCATCAAATCTGCATTGTCTTTTTCCATCACGTTATGTTCAACTTCTTTTGTTTCATGTTGAATCACTTCTGCATTGTCTTTTTCCATCATGTGATTGAAGAAAATCTGCTCCTGGTTTATGTGGAATAACAGTCCTCTTTAGTACCTACAAAAAATAAAACAAAAACATTTTCCAGAAGGGATAAAACAATTGCCTTAGAAATAACATGATTTAAAAACCATCTTAAATCAGGAGTATTCATAAAACCATCTTTAACAGTGTCCAATGTTTGAATCCACCACAACTGTGTCCTCATAAAAGCATTCATAAAGTCAAAAAAAAAAAAGTTCAATAGAGCACATCCCACTCATTCTACTCATAACAAATCTGCTTATTTCTCAATTTTGACCACAGCTTCCTTGCTTTTTTTAGAACTTTGTGTGCTTGAAAATTCATCAATGAGGGATCTCTTGACTGTTCCATTCTCTAAGGTGTTCTCTGCATTCAGCCTCTGTGCAACAACTTGTAGAGGACTTTCAGCTTCATTTGCTTGGTCATTTTCCTTAAAAATCGAGAGTTGAAACTGTAAGTACTTAAAATTTGCATTTATAAAGTAATTAGTATAAATTGTAAACACAATTATACCTCTAGATCCCATAGATCCTCATCTGTAAGCTCCAACTCCAACTTTGAACTTAGATCCCTGTCCCTAACTCCAATTAGCTCTGGTGCATGCTTTTCTATGATCTTTTCATCAGTGATGATCCTCATAACAGGGAAAGCATTGAGGTAGTTTTGGAATTGTTCTTTGCGAACAGCAATTTGAAAGAGCAGATTCAATCCAATCAGAGTCTCAAGCTCCTTAGGTATCCCCTTTCGGCCCTACAAATAATTAATTTGTTGTTTAAAGATTGTGTACATAGGAAATTTATACAATTTGTATATTAGTTAACACTTGGTATAGTAAACAACATTTAGTACCTTAGTATGGGTAGAATTCAAATCATATGCGCTAACACCAAGTAGATCAAGGCACTCCCTGTCCCATAGGAGGAAAGGAGCATTCTCATCCAAGTCCACCACCCTAACTTTAACCATGTACCTCAAGGTTCCATCGCCCCAATTCCTGTCACAGGTACTACACCACAGCCACTTTCCTTTCATTTTCAGCTTTTTGTTGCAACCCTTTGTTCTACACGAAGCATAGTACCACTCAGGATCATCAATGAACACAATCCTTACTGCCACCCAAAAATCACCAAACTGCACACACACATTTAGAAAGGTAAACATTTACAGAATTAGAAAGGTACATTAGGCTAAGTTTACTTTAGGGTTTAGTGTTTGTGAATGTTTGAGATGCATAATATCTATCAGTTGATCTATTTTTGCTAACACAAAATAAAACATACTGTGTTTATATAACTAAGAGAGATTATTTTGTGTGTGCTGGTTTGGGTGAAACACAGTGTATGGGTTGGATAATAATAACAACAAAACTGTCATGGGATGTGTTCATGCTATTTACTAACTGAGATAAGTAACCCCAAATAGACTCTGTAATTTGTTAAAATAATAACTGTGAATGACTTATATTGAGACTCTTGTGTTCTGTGCTGTTATATTTGTAACTCTTGTGTTCTGTGCTATTATATTTGTAACTAATGCCAAATATTAAATGTGCAGGTTAAATGGCACTCACTGTGCATATTTGAGATGAATACAGAGCATGGATGAGAAAAACATATAACAATGGTCATCTATATAGAGTGAGTACATATATATTTAATCAAATAGGTAATGATCTAATGGTAATGATTAAAATTAATAATCTCTTGTTTGTGCAGGTTTGGGTCACAAACAAAATATGAGTTGCATAACCATACTCACAGCTATTTCAAAGCTATTAGTCCAGCATTTTGTTTACTGAATGAGCTAAGCACCCAAAAACTAATTATCTAATTTGTTATTGTATTAACTTTTAATGAGTATTAATGGGATGCTAAGTTCTTTTTTTAACTGTCATTGTGCAGGTTAATGATGCCTACAGAGCATGGTTTGTACAATATTAGTCTACATGAGTAAAGACTATCTATTTACTCAATCAGGTAAGAAACCAAATAACATTTCAGAGTATTAGTCTATTAACTTTTAATTTTTAAATTTTTTTTTTTTCAAATCTCATGCATATTATTAAATGCAGATTACAAATGAAGCAGTTGGCATTGATATCTCCACAGATTATAGTTATAGAGATCACAGTATATCTACTAAGGTAATAACTAAAATGTTTTAAATAAATATTACCTCCTTGTCTCTGTATATTTCACTGATAGTACGGACCTCAATATCACCAGATAGGGAAACTGAATAGGAGCTACATTCCTTAAAACTTGATTGCGAAATAATACTTCGCATTGGAGTCTGTTCATGGCTGATACTGTGAAAAAAAAAAAACACTAAGACTTAGGTACCAATCTAATAGGTAGTGCAATAAATTTAATTGACTAACCTTTTTCTGAACTCCTCAAATGGTGGAGATTCCTGGTTGAACAGCAGTTGTGTTACATCATAGGAGCTACAAAGTTTAACATCCCCACCTTTAGATATTATGGTAGTAAACATTAGACAATCCATTATTGGTAAATGTGGACAAATATATATATAACTTAGCCAGAAACTAAAACTTTTAATTTACTTACTTTTTAAACACACCCTAGCCCTACAAAATTGGATCAACACCAATAATGCCTCTCGTGTGGTAGAATTGTAGAATGCCTCGATCTTGCTTACGTGTTCGTCCCACAAAGTACACATCAATTGTATACCACTGCAAAATGTTAGATAAGAGATTAGAAGAACAGAAAATCTAAAAATAGAGTAGAAATAGAAGGAAACGAATAAAAAAAAAATACTCAGTGTCTTCAATGGTGAAGTCAATCAGCCTGGAGTTCTTCCCATTAATCAGTTTCTCCTGTGGGCAGTGAATCTCAATCACTCGACCAATCACATCTACAGAATAGTGCATTATTAGAGTACAAATTAATAGTAACAATATCAATTAATTAGAAAATTAGAAAATAAGAGAGCAATTGATTACCAAAGAGTTGTTTCTCATCAAGGCCTTCATTAGATTTGATCTCTCTAAATGACTTCAGACGATACATTTTCATCGGAAATTTTGCATTCTTTAAATCCTTGACCATAGTCTGATAATTGAATTTTATCATGTACTTCTGTGGACTGGTCTTGTATGAATAAAAATTGGTGATAACACAAAAATTCTTTATAGCGTAAACTGAACCCTCAGAGAAATAGCTTAGGTACTTTTCTACATATTCTTTGGGTACATGAGCATGAAGGAAGGAACCCTATAAAATCAATAGGAACTGTTTAAATATATATCATAAATAGGAACTGTAAAAACTGAAACCTGTGACTTAAACCTGTTGATGTATTTGAATATATATTTGTAAATAGCATTTACCTCTTCATCATGAAAAACTATTTCTTTTGATCTAATCTTCGTGTGATCATTTCTCTCAGGAATCTGATATGCTCTCACCACTCGTAGCCTAAGAGCCTGCCTGGTGTTCATTGGGGATATTTGGCTAGCAAGGATAAACATCTTCTTGTAGGTCTGAAGAAGAATGAGAGTGACCGGTGCAGCTTTTGTGTGAAATAACGAAAGGTCTGAAGAAGAATGAGAATGACAGTAGAATATTTTGTGTTGTATATGTGCTGTATATATAAGGTCTGATGACCTTTCGTACTATTTCCTTAGAAATTAATACCTAGAGAATATGTATGAGTTAGTGGGCTCAATGTTCCATATGGGGAAGTGATGGAATTAAATACGTTCTCTAATCCCATTGGATTAGAGAGTGATCTACCGTAGATATTTTTAAAAATGTAGGTTTTCTATAAAGTTTACCTATTACACTGCACAAACCTTTCGTGTTCCGACGCAAATACCATAAATATTTCGGCTATGTCAAAACGACGTCGTTGCTGTTGGGCGGGAGTTTTTTGCTCCTATTATTTTGCTTTAATATATATAGAGATTATTTTTTTAAAAAAAAATATTATAAAGAATATTAAAATTTTGTTGTTCCTTAATATTTGGCCCCCCTCTCACTTAAATTAATCTCAAGTTAAGTTATATATTTTTTCATCTTAACTTCTCCAGTTCTCTCCCATTTCAAATTATGTCTTCCCTATATTATTGACTCACATTCAAATTAAACCACATTTAACTTACCTACTAGTTTCTCTCTCTAGAACCATACATATATGCGGCATATATACTATAACAAGATAATTTGTTATTAAAATCGATGCACATTTTTCAAGTTATTATTATTATTATTATTTTGTTCTTAACTACTTGTTTGGTTAATTTTTGTTTCATATTCTATTATTTATTTTAAATAGTTGTTTTGTTTGATTCTAAATAATGGATAATGGATGTCAGGGTGAATATGTTTGGTTAATTATGCAAATTTGTGGTTATGTGATAAATTTTGTATTTAATTTAACATTTATTATAATGTAAAAATTGAATAGTATATGTATTTGAGAAAACAATTTGCTATTATGTTATGTTGTGAGTAGGGTAATTTTCAAGAAATAATCAATAGTCTTTTAAAACATTTCTGAATGTTTTCATTCTTTCAACCATACAAAGTAATGTACATTGAAAAACATATTACAAAATAATTTAATATAGATTCAATTATAAATGATTTATTCTAAACTTTATTTAATTTGTAATGTAATGATTATTTTGAAATATGTTAACTGAGTATCAATATATTTAATTTAGTACTTTAACTATTGGCCCCCCGCATTGTTCAATTCTGGCTCCGCCACTGCAAACCACTAATCCAATCAGCTAGCAATCATTTACCAAATCTTTAAATCTGTTTTAATCTTGAAAAACCTACATTATAATTTATAACTCTCCTAGCACCTTTGAAAGATAGCGAATAAATTTCTAAAAGGAAGTACCATACCCGACTCAAATTTATTCCACATTGACCATTCATTATTTTTTATCGTACTTCAACTAAAACTTCCTACACCAAACACTCCAAATGCCCGTCGGAATATTTGACTCGTAATTTCCCAGCTGGGATCACTCCGTAATCTCTACTCATTGCGTTATATCGCTTTCTAATGTGTTAGTTTCTCAACTTCTTTTCTTGACCTTTCCAAGTTCCAACCCTAACTGTACTTTCTAAATGGAGTGGTGATGTGTTATTTAGTAATTGGTTTTTATTTAGTTAAAAAAAAATGTTTGCTGTATTAGTGTTTGCTATAACTAGTATTTTCACTCGTGCGATGCACGGAATGGAATTGTTGTAATATATTAAGAATATTTAAATCGATATATAATTATTTAAGAGTTAATTTCACCCGAGGTCGTTTATCTTTCCTGACAATTCCAAATTTAATCCTAGACTTTAGTTATTAATTATTACAATTTATTCTATGTTACAACTCTTACGTTAATATTCTTACTATTATTATTAACACTTAATTACTTTTAGATATTATTATTATTATTAGTTTCTTTTCAAGTACTGTTAGTATATAATGGTCGTGAGGCACAATAATAATATAACCATAATTAAATATTGTTGTATTGTATTCCGGAGTTAATGCCATTTTTGGTCCTAGACTTATTGAGTCATTGACACTTTTCATCCTCCATAATAAAAATTGACACTTAGTAGACACTGTTATTGGTCGTTGGACAGTTTTGATCCTCCGTCAATGAAGTCGTTTGTTGACCGTGAATTAGAAGGGATTTTCTGTCTTTTTATGTCTTATTCTTCTAATCTTGTTTAAACCAGCGCTGTTGTGACTCCTGTGAGGCGAGATGGCGAGACTTGGCGGCTAAGTAGTAACCGTCGGTAGTGAGTAGCAGCGAGTTTCTTCTCCGGCGAGTTGTGTTTACGGCGGCGAGCATACGAAGCAATAACTCCTTCCGACGACGAACCAGTAAGGCAAATCTGGCGGTGCAGCAACAGATCCGGCGAGGTTGGGGCCTTCACCGGTGGTTTTTGGTTCCGGCGAAGCAGAGAGGGCAGCAGGTCGGCGAACCCTCCTATGGTAAATAGCAGTTGTACTTGTAGATGGCGTGATGTAGAATTTGCACCTGTAAGTCCTCCTTTCCATATTGACCACAAATATCCTTCCCATCTCTCTCTCTCTCTCTCTCTCTCTCTCTCTCTCTCTCTGACCACAACTACTTGGTGCACAACCTCAAAAACTCTGTTATTCTACCTGAAATTCATTGAAGTTTCAATCTGAAAATGTGGAATCCGCCGCTCCCCAAAAATCGCATTGTCTGAGGTGTTGGAATGACCGGTGTTGACTTCCTGGCTACTGTAGCTTCATTCCCCAACCCGGATGATAAAAATCGGAGCACCAGCTTTGAGGTTCAAGGAGGTGGTAACACTGGCAATGCTTTGATAAAACCCGGATGATAAAATTCATCTTGGTGTTAATCCAAGGATCATATCTAAGGTTGCTGATGACTCGCATGGCGAAAGAATACTTGATGAGCTTGAAAGGGATGGTGTTGATACATCTTTTATGGTGGTGTCCAAAGGAGGAAACTCACCATTCACATATGTCATTGTTGACAACCAAAAAAAAAAAACTCGCACGTGCATTTTCACTCCAGGATATCCACCCATGATATCTGAGGGTCTACATACCCAAATCAAAATTGTCTTCAGCGCTTGGAGTAAATATTGTCTACTTAGATGGAAGGCTGCATGAGACTGCTTTGATTGTAGTGCATGAGGCAATAGAGTAGGGGCATACCTATTATAGCTGATGCAGAAAGGTTAAGGGAGGGGTTGGGTGATATTCCTGACTTTGCTAGTTATGTTGTATGCTCGACAAAATTTCCACAGACATGGACTAACGCCCTTTCTATTCCAACTGCACTTGTTTCCATTATCTTGAGATTGATGTCAAATGTAAAATTTGTGATTGTTAGTTGGGTGAAGATGGTTTCTTAATGTTAGAAAGGACTGAAGCGGATAACCTCAGTTTGAAGAAATGGATGTAGCAGTGACCAACGGATTGAGAAATACAAGGATCAGAACATAAAAAGACAGAAAAACCATTCTATTTCACGGTCAACAAACGGCGTCATTGACGGAGGATCAAAACTGTCCAACGATCAATAAACGTGGCTACTAAGTGGTAATTTTTATTATGGAGGATGAAAAGTGTCAATGCCCCAATAAGTCTAGGACCAAAAATAGCATTAACTCTTGTATTCCGTGAGTCACAATAATAATATAACAATAATTAAATATTGTTCAATTCTATATTCTTCTAGGATTTCTATTACCATCATTAATTATTCCCAAATTTACCATAATTAAATAATTTGACCAATTATAAAGAAAGATTATTAAATAATGCACGGGACAATTCTTGAATTAAAAATTTTAAAAAATTCATTAATAAAACATAAGGTTCTCATAGTTTTTTCTTAGAAACTCTTCAATAAAGTAATTTCTTTTTAGAAATTGGTGGGTCAAACCGCCTACGGCAGTTTGCGGTGGATAGATCTCGAAAAAATACGCGATTTCAAAAAAATATTTGTCCAAAACGGACAACGGCGTCAAAAGTTATGCCTTGCCGAACTTTTGACACTTTACAACTTAAAAAAAAATAAAAAAAAATTAAAGGCCGGTTCAGCGGTCAAGGCTCCCGCTGAGGAGGCCGATTTCACGATTTTGTTTTAGAAATTGGGCGGAAAGTTAAAATTTCAGGATTTTGTTTTTATATATAGTATAGATTGTATTACACTATTTTATAATAGTAGAATAGAATTTTAACGCAGAATTATTGTACGAATGCGAAAGTAGAAATCAATATATTTTATTAGGAAGAGAGATTTTTTATGAATTGGGCGGGAAAAGTTAAAATTTCAGGATTTTGTTTTTATATATAGTATAGATTGTATTACACTATTTTATAATATTAGAATAGAATTTTAACGCAGAATTATTGTACGAATGGGAAAGTAGAAATCAATATATTTTATTAGGAAGAGAGATTTTTTAGGAATTGGGCGGTAAGTTAAAATTTCAGGATTTTGTTTTTATATATAGTATAGATTGTATTACACTATTTTATAATATTAGAATAGAATTTTAACGCAGAATTATTATACGAATGGGAAAGTAGAAATCAATATATTTTATTAGGAAGAGAGATTTTTTAGGAATTGGGCGGGAAGTTAAAATTTCAGGATTTTGTTTTTATATATAGTATATAGATTGTGTTACACTATTTTATAATATTAGAATAGAATTTTAACGCAGAATTATTGTACGAATGGGAAAGTAGAAATCAATATATTTTATTAGGAAGAGAGATTTTTTAGGAATTGGGCATGAAGTTAAAATTTCAGGATTTTGTTTTTATATATAGTATAGATTGTATTACACTATTTTATAATATTAGAATAGAATTTTAACGCAGAATTATTGTACGAATGGGAAAGTAGAAATCAATATATTTTATTAGGAAGATAAATTTTTTAGGAATTGAGCGGGAAGTTAAAATTTCAGGATTTTTTTTTTTTTTTGAATGCTAAAATTTCAGGATTTTGTTTTCATATATAGTATAGATTGTATTACACTATTTTATAATATTAGAATAGAATTTTAACGCAGAATTATTGTACGAATGGAAAAGTAGAAATCAATATATTTTATTAGGAAGAGAGATTTTTTAGGAATTGGGCGGGAAGTTAAAATTTCAGGATTTTGTTTTTATATATAGTATAGATTGTATTACACTATTTTATAATATTAGAATAGAATTTTAACGCAGAATTATTGTACGAATGGGAAAGTAGAAATCAATATATTTTATTAGGAAGAGAGATTTTTTATGAATTGGGCGGGAAAAGTTAAAATTTCAGGATTTTGTTTTTATATATAGTATAGATTGTATTACACTATTTTATAATATTAGAATAGAATTTTAACGCAGAATTATTGTACGAATGGGAAAGTAGAAATCAATATATTTTATTAGGAAGAGAGATTTTTTAGGAATTGGGCGGGAAGTTAAAATTTCAGGATTTTGTTTTTATATATAGTATAGATTGTATTACACTATTTTATAATATTAGAATAGAATTTTAACGCAGAATTATTGTACGAATGGGAAAGTATAAATCAATATATTTTATTAGGCAGAGAGATTTTTTAGGAATTGGGCGGGAAGTTAAAATTTCAGGATTTTGTTTTTGTATATAGTATATAGATTGTATTACACTATTTTAGGAATTGGGCGGGAAGTTAAAATTTCAGGATTTTGTTTTTATATATAGTATAGATTGTATTACACTATTTTATAATATTAGAATAGAATTTTAACGCAGAATTATTGTACGAATGGGAAAGTATAAATCAATATATTTTATTAGGAAGAGAGATTTTTTAGGAATTGGGCGGGAAGTTAAAATTTCAGGATTTTGTTTTTGTATATAGTATATAGATTGTATTACACTATTTTATAATAATAGAATAGAATTTTAACGCAGATTTATTGTACGAATGGGAAAGTAGAAATCAATATATTTTATTAGGAAGAGAGATTTTTTAGGAATTGGGCGGGAAGTTAAAATTTCAGGATTTTGTTTTTATATATAGTATAGATAGTATAGATTGTATTACACTATTTTATAATATTAGAATAGAATTTTAACGCAGAATTATTGTACGAATGGGAAAGTAGAAATCAATATATTTTATTAGGAAGAGAGATTTTTTAGGAATTGGGCGGGAAGTTAAAATTTCAGGATTTTGTTTTCATATATAGTATAGATTGTATTACAGTATTTTATAATATTAGAATAGAATTTTAACGCAGAATTATTGTACGAATGGGAAAGTAGAAATCAATATATTTTATTAGGAAGAGAGATTTTTTAGGAATTGGGCGGGAAGTTAAAATTTCAGGATTTTGTTTTTATATATAGTATAGATTATAAATATTGTGTTTGACAATATTTTTTTTTTTAAAGATTGGTATTGCTTTTTGGATGGGAATATTGATAAATAGAGTTGTTATGCTGTGCAACCGTGTTTACACGGGTCTAGATTCATAATTTTTATACAGTAGATTCATAATTTCTATACTGTAGATTCATAAAATTTATACTATAGATTCATAATTTCTAAACCGTAGATTTATAATTTAAATACAGTAAATTCATAATTTATATACTGCAGATTCATAATATCTGTATTGTAGATTCATAATTTCTAAACTGTATAGTTATCAAATTATGAACATATAGTTATGTGATTTGTGAATACAGAGTTCAACAATTGGGAATATGAACATCGAAAATTATGAACATATAGCTCTATAATTATGAACATATATTTATAAAATTATGAATCTACAGTATATATTTTATGAATCTACAGTATAGAAATTATGAATCTAGACCCGTAGTGCACACGGTTGCAAAACATAATTTGCCATAAATAGTTGTGTGGGTTAAATTTGGAATTTGGCAAATTGGTAGCTTTAAAAAAATAATTATGGGTTAGGGGTTGTTTGGTGTCGTGTTGCGGTAACCTGTTATGAATTCATGTTTGTTTTCATAATTTTGACTTGTTACATTTTTTTTTTTTAGTACTATTGACTCTATTACAATTTATAATGTTCTAAACTTTAATTTCTCTATTTATTGTAGTTCAAAGAGTTTGACTTGTTAAATTTAAGTGTGTATAGACACAATTCGATTAATATATTATCAAAATACAAATTTTTTTTTGAAATATTTATAATTCTCTACAATGTAGTATATGTTATATACTATCTCAAACATTTTAATTTCATCTCAAAGAATCTGAGCTTCGACCAACGAAGTTTAAACTGTGGTGGTCTAAATCTATGACCACCAATTAAAATGGTAACTGAGATGTCATGTCAGGTTAAAGATGATTTCGTCATGTAAAGCAAGATAAACCAATTCACAAGTAAAGCATCTTTTTCTTTTCATTATATATAATTAAATATTAATAGTAGACTACGGAGTGATTATAGGACGGATTGTTTTTTTTTTCTTTTTCTTTTTTTTTTTTAGTGTTTTATTAGAGAAAATTTATCTCTATATGTGATTGAAAAAATGAGTTCACTATAGTGTGTGTTGTGGGTTTTGGCCAAATTTAGACCCCCAAAAAATGTCAAGAGAGGAGTAAGCAAAGTTACTAATCAGAACATTCGCTTTGTGGACTTTAGATTGGAACAACAATATAATCTAATTAAGTTGTGTTGAGTTTGACTAGTCAAAGTTTAAAGTTCAATTTGATTTTGACGTGATAGTTCATCGGATTGTGGTGGATATAGGCAGTTCAACGTATGTCATATCATATACTATTGCATTCTGAAAACAATATTTAATGTTTTCTAATTTGATTTTGAGAATGAGACGACTAATCCTAACATCATTTATGTATGAGGAGCCGAACGACAAAGTCACCTCATTAGATAAAGATAGATGTCATCGCCGCTACTCTCTCAGCAAGAATAACTTTCCCAATTTAGTA